GCCTCTTGGGCAGACACTGAGGGTTCTTGGGGATCCTTTGCGAATTGTTGTCTTAGGTCACCCTTTCTCAACCAGGGTTCATCATCTTAGACACACAGGGTGATTTGAGTGAACTATTTTCTCAGGTATCCCTGGGAACTGCTACCATTCTAGTCACCTAGGATGTGTTAGTTTATGACACACAATGGAAGCCTTAGGACAGTCGGGTTCAATGGCCTTGCAGATCCCCAGAACCCCAGGTGAGAAAGGCCGTCTCAGCTGAATGCCATGAAATCAAGCCAGGGTGAGGTCAGGTGCCCAGAGGCTAGTTCCAAGCATTTCTCCCAGGAGGTATGGCTAACAGTGTGCCCCTGTCCTTTCAGGAAGAATATGAAGACTCCAGTGGGAATGTTGTGAATAAGAAGACATATGAGGATCTGAAGAGACAAGGACTGCTCTAGTGTTCAGGGACGTATCTCGGCTTTCGGGCTTGTCCAGGCTTACCTGAAATCTGCCTTTTGTATTTCTCCCAACCAAATGCTCCTAAAGACTCTGCTACTTAGTCTTAAGGTCTAGTGTGCATCTTGGGGGGGAAAAAAAAGCAAGGCATGCTGGCAGATTGCAGGGTTAAGATGTGTTTTATCTTTGTTTTATATTAAAAGATTCTGTCAGAAAATAAACCCAGCCCTTCTGAATGTGTCTTGTTCTAAAGCCCAGGATTATGGACTAACCTAACTAATCCTTTTGTTCTTAACACTTCCCTACCTCTTTCTCATCAACTTAAGCAGCAACTGAGGTTTGATGAGCACTGGTTAATGTTACATTTATTATGTTAGGTAGGTCTAACCTAACTTCTTCCCCACCCCCATTTGCTGCCATTTCCCCAAATGCACATTACCGCAGGATAAGCCCTGCCCTTAGTTGAGTCAGCCATTTATGCACGTACTACAGAAAGGTGGTGAAGACGAGCCAGGGCCTCTCCTCAGGACAAGGTTGCAGAACCACGATTTGCCTTTTGTGTTTGCATAAAGGAAGGAGTTGGGCTGTTGTGGAATGGGCCTGCAGCCCTGCCCCGTCCCTAAGCCTCAGCAGCCTGGCACACAGTGGGTCTAAGACAAGCTGTGACTTCACCCGCTTGCCAGCTCACAGCAAGTCTTTGGTGATCCTCCTTCTGCAAGATCCCTACTTGACTAAGAGGTGGCTAATATTCTTGTGGACTCCAGCCCCAGGTAGCCAAGATTTGGGTGGCATTTGGCAGCCGCCCTCGGATCCGAACCTGGTTTCCCAAATGGAAAGAACTAGGGGAGCCGAGGAGGCGATGATCTGCCCACAGGCACAGTTGTTTGAAGGCCAGAGCCAGCTGCCGAACAGGATTTCTCCAGAGAGCTCCTTTGGCTCTCAGCACTCAGACCTTCAGTTTGTCTGTCTGTAATGTATCTGCTTATAAAAATCCCAGCTCCGGAACTGGCCCTTCCCGTCACACTCCTCTGTTGCCCTCGTCCTCTCCATGGCAATAGGGTTTCACCGCCCCTGCCCCTGAGACCTGACCTGTTGCTCTGGGTTGGTGGTGTCCTTCCTGGTTCAACTGTCTCTTCAGGCAAGTCCTCACGCGTTCCTTTGTTCGTTCCTTTGTTGCTTAGAACCCGAGCCAGACAGCCTCTCCAGGGCTCGAGCTGCTGAAGCAGAATGCATGGTAATTAAACCTAATCGAGCAGCTAGAAACCTCGAATACTGAAAACCGGCCCAAAGTGCAAGCAGACATTGCCCTTTGGGAAGGGAGTTCAACAAAACCTTGGCACTGGGAAACTGGTGGGACCGTCCCTCCAGCCTTCCCGCTGGAGCGACAGCAGCACTGGGGCCCCCCAGGGGATATACCTGCTGCATTTCAACTGTCACATCCCTCAGAGCCTCCTCTTTAGGAATGGGTACCTGGATTCCAGGGTCAGTACAACCTGTATTTTACCGTGGGGGGGGGGGGGCCAGGAGGGGCCAGGTCCTGGGGAGTCCTGCTATCACCTTTGCCTAGGTGACTTCGGTCCTTATGCACATTGCACCAGAGAGGCCTTGGCGGAAATGTGCCGCTTCCCTGTCACGGCAGCAAAGGATTCTTTTCTTCTTTCATCCAAACACATATTTTTAGCGCCTTCTGTGTCCCAGCTAGGTTTACAAACCTTGAGAATTAGGTGAAGGTGAGACCATGAGCGGGAGCAGAACCAGAGGTACGGAGACCCAATAACAGCCTCCTGGACAGGGAGAAAGCCCTACAGCCGACCTCCAGCCCCAAGGGCACAGAGCTATTAGCACAAACCATCAGAAGTGGTTCTCCCACAGGGGACTCCCTGCAATCTGGACTTCATCTCAGCTCCCTGACCAGGCTCGGGAAGGAGCATGGTTGCTCCCTCTTGGCTGACACCAGTAGTCCTTAATCTTTCCAGGATCATAGATTCCTTCCGAAATACGAAGATAAAAACTGTGGACTCTCTAGGAAAATACATGTGCATAGGTAATTTTACACACCATCTCAAGGGTTCACGAATGCCCGGAATCCCATTCTTGGTTCCCGAGTCTTATGAGAATCTCTCCCTTAGACGTGGAGTCTGAACCTCTACCAGGGCACTTCCTGCTGAGAACAGGTGACTCAACTCCCTCTTTAAGGAGGGAGGCTGCACATCAGAGAAGGTCAGGCTGGAGACTCGTTCCGGGCTTGCCCCCCAGACGGGTGCTGCCGAACCCAGCGGCTGATCCTGGGATGAAACTCCCAGAAACAGGAGTCTCTTCACTCCCACCTCAGAGGAAAGCCAGTCGGTCTGTGTCCAGCCCCAACGGGCCATCCCTTTCCTCCAGTTGTCTTCTGTTCCTCTCGCTGGGGTCAACTTGTCCTGGCAGGCTTTACAAAGAGAGCACCCTAAAAATGTAACCAGTGTGTTAGAGGAGTGAGGGGCAAGGTTCCTGGGGTTTTTCTCCTCCCTCTGCATTATTTAATCTGTCCTTGGGATGATGGCTCCCCTTCATTGTTCAGATCCTGCCAGCAGCTTCACCTCCCGAGTTCTCACGGTAAGAATGGACCCGCAGCCTCTTCCCGCACACCACCCTTTCCACCACCAGCCAGCCAGACTTCTCCCATTCCAGGTGGGTTCTGGGAGGACATGGGCCTCCCTGCTCTCCTGTCACTCCTGAGAGCCCTCTCTACCTTCCAGGTTTCTCCTCTACACAAGTAGGCATGTCCCAGTGGGACCTTGGGACGGGGGTCCTTCGCTCTGCCCAAGCTGCCAATTGGCTTTAATTTCTCCTTCCAGCTACAGTCTGGACAGCATTTGGCTTGTGCTCCCTTCTGCCTGTGGCCCCCGTGTGTCCCGCCCCCATCCCCCAGCAGTAACGTCAGAAGGAATTCCCAGAGCTGACCAATGATTCCAGGGGCTGCATCGTATGCACACGTGTTCACTGCCCTCCGTAGCTTCGGGTGTGCAGGTAGGTCTATGTCTGGGAGAGGCTGGGGCACAGGGAATCATTAGGAATATTCTATCTAGCCATAGAGAGTTGCACAAACCACAGCCAAAAGTAATGCAGATTAGGAGGTTATCGGCCAGGCTTTGTGATTCTGCTGTGTCTGGCCAGCTCACACTCAGGCTGTCCCTCCAGCCTCATCTACCCAACCCAGGGAGGAGGAAAAGAGGCCTGTGCGGGATGCCTGGGCCCTTCCTTTCACATGGACACAGACATCTGTGTAGAGCCTCTGGGCCCTTCTCTTCACCTTTGGAAGCTGAGATCCCCTTGGAGAGGTGCTGTTGGGAGAACTGCTTCCCGCTCGTGGTGTTGGAGGGGAGGGAGAGGCGTGGGGACACCTGCTGGGAAGGGGTGAGGGGAGGGGTGCTTGGCTGGCTCCATCACTAGAACATGCGACTCTTGATCTTAAGGTCTTGAGTTTGAGCCCCACATTGGCAGTAGAGATTACTTGCAAAAAGAAGACAGGGGCACCTGGGTGCCTCAGTTGGCTAAGCGTCTGACTTCGGCTCAGGTCATGATTTCATGGTTCGTGAGTTCAAGCCCAGCATCAGGTTCTGTGCTGATAGCATGGAGCCTGCTTCGGATTCTCTGTCTTCCTCTCTCTCTCTGCCCCTCCCCCGCCTATAGTCTCTCTCAAAAATAAATAGATAAAGTAACAAACATTTTTTAAGAAATTAGAAGAGGTGAGGGTAGAGAGAGAAGTGACCTCTATTGCCAGGAGATCCTATCCTGCTTCACCTCAGCACCCTGGATCGTGAGCACTGCCCCAGATGTGTATTCAAGACCCCTGCCCGGAAGGCCCCAGCCGAGAGGGGTTCTAGCTCCAGGGTTTCCCTGGAAAGAGACAGATGGAAGTGCTGAAGGAAGAATGAGGTCAGGGAAGCGTGTCCTGTGAGCCTCGGGAACACGGGGCTGGGGGAGAAGATGGAAATAACGCCCCCCACCCCTCACCTGCAGCAGTTTTCTGCCTTGCATGCAAACACCCGAACTGGGCTTAGCACACTCTTCCAGGTCTAATCTTTCAGTACTGGGTGAAGCAGAGCCAGGATCCAGATCTCCAGTGTCTAAGACCTACCTCCTGCCCTTGGCCCAGATCTGGTTTAGAAACAGGGTGGGATCCGAACCCTGAAGAACCCGGACAAGGTGTGCCCTGATTTGGGGCCCTCTCTGTGACCTGGGGTTTCTCTGCCCTGGGTTCTGAGAAAGCCCATCTCCCCCCAGCACCTTCTGATGTTGGACACAAATGAAGCCCGATCAGAGGCACCAGATGTCTCTTCCCTGTCACTGCACCTGCTCCGGTTCTGTCTCCCCTTGGGCCTGGGATGCTGCTGTTGCCATGCCGACAACAACATTCACTCTCAGAGGGGCTGTTACTAGGCTCCAGGCCCCTTTGTGCTTGCCTTAGTGTCACTCTGACTATAGGGCTTACGGGAAGCAAAAATTCAGCCCCTTGGTCCCTTTCTCCGTAGAGGTTGACCTCTCCTGCTCCCCAGCCTCAGTTTATTCACCTGCGGAAGGCAATGATGGGGATCTCTCTTTGCAGTCCTCAACTGGGTCCTTCACTCTCTCTGGCCCCTGCGGGACCTCAGTAGAAGATATCTGTGGCCAACAGTAGTCATGGAGTTGCTTTGCTCAGAGGTAGCTGTCCCCAGCCCAGGGACCCCAGCCCTTCCTGGACTCTGTGACCATCCCTAACTCATGACTGTTGCTGGACCCTGGGACTGCCCCTTCTCTTCCCTGACCTCACGACCTCTTTCACTTGACCCTTCCTTGACCTGTGACCCTTGAGCTGGTTGCTCCCTGCAGTGGTCCCTCTCTCCTTTTCCTCCTACCAGTCCTTCTGCTGGTCTTACTGGTCGCCCAGAATCTGGCGAGCAGTCAGTTGACCCCTGCTCCTGTCCAGGTGAGCAGCACACGAAGGAGGAGAGAGCCCCCTGGTGCCTTCACCCCATGGGAAAGGAGCCACAGTGTTCCAAGCTGTCTGCAGATATGACACAGCTCCTACTGCTTCTGAGAGATGTGCTACCCGGAGGCCTGGGGAACACCACGGTGAGGTGAGGCGTGGGATGGGGCTGCTGCGGGAGGAGGGAGGGTTGCTTACACTGCATGCAGTAAGCTGCTGCGAGAGAGATGCCGAGCAGGAGGGAAAGGAGCCGCTGGTTGGGATTGGGGCAGGGGGCTGAGCCTGGCCCAGGACTGGCTGTCCCCGCTCCTCCTGGACTCCCGGCATGCTCTTCTTCCAGCTGATTCAACTCGGTGCTTCCTGCTACATGGCCCAGGGGAGATGAGACCAGTCCCAGCCCAGGCCCCCGCTGTCCTCAGTGCTGCAGTGGCGGCTCACTCTGCTGGGCCCTAAATGAACTGGGCTCTGGTGAGCAGCCCTGCCAGCCTGGGGCCAGAGCCCCTCCTCCATGGCCCCTGCTCTGGCTTCTCCCATTGCCCCGGTGAGCTGTGAGCCCCACCCCGCCACTCCCCAGCCCTGAGCCTTGCCCACCCACTAACACCCAACTCTGAACCCCACTCTTAGTTGTTGAGTTTTTTTTATATGTAACTTATTGTCAAATTGGTTTCCATACAACACCCAGTGCTCACCCCAACAGGTGCCCTCCTCAATGCCCATCACCCACTTTCCCCTCTCCCCCTACCCCCCCATCAATCCTTAGTTTGTTCTCAGTATTTAGGAATCTTTTATAGTCTGCCTCCCTCCCTCTCTGTAATTTTTTTCCCCCTTCCCCTCCCCCCTGGTCTTCTGTTGAGTTTCTCAGGATACACATATGAGTGAAAACATATGGTACCTGTCTTTCTCTGCCTGACTTATTTCACTTAGCATAATACCCTCCAGTTCCATCCACGTTGCTACAAATGGCCAGATTTCATTCTTTCTCATTGCCAAGTAGTATTCCATTGTATATATAAACCACATCTTCTTTATCCATTCATCCGTTGATGGCCATTTAGGCTCTTTCCATAATTTGGCTATTGTTGAAAGTGCTGCTATAAACATGGGGGTACAAGTGCCCCTATGGATCAGCACTCCTGTATCCCTTGTGAACCCCACTCTTTGGAAGGCCCTCAAATCTGAGCTCAGTTTTTACCAACCCTCAGCCTCTAGCCACACCCTAACCTCTCTACCTTGTCAGGCTGACCCTTACGTTTGAGATCCACCCTCCTCATCACTCCCTGAGTCTGAGCTTTGTACCTTCGGTGCCCCAACCCCACCAGCCTCCCCCTCCCAGTTCTCCCTTCCCCCTTCTCCCTACCAGCTCTCCCCTTTCTCCAGTCTCCGTGGAGGCCCAGCAAAGCTCCTCTGCTTGTCCCGGGTGGCAGCACTGTCGCAGTTTCAGGTCGTGACTGTCCCCACACACAAAGCCCTTTCTGGGATGGGGGCTGGGACTCTGCAGAGGGGTTACCTCCCCCCACCCCACCCTGCAGCGGAGTGTCACAGCACTTCCCCAGGCAGCCCTGCTCTGCTCCCAGGCCTAGGCCACCTGACGTAGCAGAGGACTAGCTGCTTCCCACTTAGCTCCTGGTGACCACCAAGGAGCCAGCCCCCAAGGGAAACGTGAGTGTCTGCTTCCCACCTGCCTGCTCCGGAAGGCAGAAGCAGGAACAGGGCTGGGGGCAGTGGGACAGCCACATGGGGCTTCAGCCCTGCCTCCGTCCAGCATTCGCTCTACATCCAGTCTGAGCAGAGCTGCCCGCCCCTCAGCCTTCCCTCCACTTTCTCTTACAGGGGAAAATCTGTGCGACCTTCTCCTGCCAAGGTGGTGACTGCTTCAGAGGGCAGGAAGCTGTGCCCTGAGGGCTGGGACTCCTGTGAGGTGGGCCCTTGGAGTGCTGTCCTTCCTCAGAACTACAGGCCTTTCATCTCCCGCTGGGGCACGGTGGGTCAAGCAGCCAAAACTGGCCAGAGCTAGACCTGGCCGGAGCCCGGCTGCCTGGGGCCCAGCATGCTTGACCCTCTCAGCTCTACATCATACCAGATCCAGGGTGGCAACTGGGATCTTCCAAGTCTTCATGACATGCTTCCTCGTTTCTGATCACCCCGTATGTTCTCTGGGGACTGACCGGCTGAGCTCGTGGAGAGGGAGCTGGGGGTCCAGGGAGGTTCAGCTCAGCCCATGGCCCACTTTACACTTCCTGCCTCGGTGAGTGGCAGGGGAGGAGCAAGCAGAGTATGAATGGTCCCATTTCTTCTTGCAGCTGAACTGGTCCAGCTCAGGCTTTGTTGCAGGCCTATGTGGCAGGGACCCCTGGCTGTCGCGGGACAGTGGCTCAGCCCTGCTACCAGGAGTCCTGCCAAACCTCAGCTTCTCCAGCTGGATGGGAATCTTCACTTCAACCGGGTTGCCACAAGGGTCACTAGGAGGGCCCCTCCACGGGGCCACGGCTGTGACCATGCTGCTGTTCCTCCACTCTGCCCTGCTCCCTTCCTGCTCCCCTAGCTGGGCCCAGAAGAACTGGGGAGCAGCATCTAGGGAGACTCTGGAGGCTCTGCAAGCCCCCAGTCCCACCCCCAGCTCTGACTCCTACAGCTGTATCTTTAGTGAGAGGGATTTATCAGGTCCATGGCATGGGCTCCAGGATCCTCACTTCTCCTTCCCAGGGCCTCAGCCTGAACTTGGTGCCCTCCAAGGGGGCAGGGCTTCAGCACTAATCCCAAGGAGAGGCTAGCGTTCATCTGGAAAAACAGAACTTCCCTCCTGACCCCCCACTGGATGGGAGGACCCCAAAGTTGTCAGTGTAGTTATCTGGGGAGAAAGAGTTCCAGTAGAGGCCAGAGCAGGCCAGCCTGGATGAAAGGAGTTGAGGCTGGAATAGAGGAGAAAATGAAAATGCATTATTTTTTTCCCCCGTAAGGCAGACATAGCCATCTTCCTTCAGGATGCTAGGCGGGGAACTCTGACCCCATGACTTGGAGGGCTGGGGTGACGGTTAGAGCAGTCATCAGGAAGGGGGAGCTCAGAGTACCCCAGGACCTAAGGAGTTAATGGAGGCGGCGAGCCCCCCAGCGCCCCCGTGATTGGTGCGGGCATGCTGGGACTTGCAGGCTGGCTGACCAGCGTGTGGCGCACAGGCTCCTGGGAAACGTAGTCACTAGCCGGCCAGGGCCACGGTGTCCTACGTCCTCAGGTCCTCAGCGGTGACAGCTCAGGAGGTAGGCGGCAGTGGCAGGGGGCTGGGAGCAGGTGCGGAGCAGGGAAGCCAGGGCCGGGCTGGGCAGGCGGGAGCGGGCAGACTGAGGGCTGAGACCCTGGTCCTGCAGCTGTCAAAACCGGACACCCCCTGGCTTGTGGCTGATGCAATCAGGCCTGCTGGGCGGGGATGAGGGCCAAAGAGCAATGCGATGTGTTTTCCTGTCTCTAGGGAAAGAGGAACGGGACTGGGGTCCTTGTCCAGGATGAGGCCCTCCCTTGCCTTGCCTTGCCTTGCCTTGCCTTGCCTTGCCTTGCCTTCCCTTCCCTTCCCAAGAAGAACAGGACATTTGCCCCCAAATCCATGCAGACGCACCACCGACACCCTCCAAAGAGGTGCCAGCAGGGCTAATACTGCTCCCCCAAAAGGGAGGCAGACAGAGCCCTATCCCGGGAGCCGTGGGACCATGCCTCCCTCTCCAGTAGTGGGACAAGGCACCCGCCTTCCAACAAATAGACCAGACCCCGCTCAGAAACAACCGGCCGCCCTTCCAAAGGGTGGTGCAACAAACTGTACATCCCACCAGGGGCAAAGGGATGGCCCCTCTCCCTAGAAACTAAAGGGCCCATCTAAGGAGGAGGAAGGGAAGGGTCAGGCCTCCTCTAACTTCTCTCTGTACAAGGGCTCTCCTCCCTGCCCCTCAGCCCTCTGAGGCAGCTCCATCACCTTCTGGGTAACTTGTTGACCTAAGGGGGCTCCCATCTGCCCTCTCCCCAGGGCGTGTCTGCTCAGCAGGGACCAGCATGGACCAGTCTGTGGCTATCCAGGAGACCCTGGCTGAGGGGGAATATTGCATCATCATATCCTTGCCAGCACTGAGCTCCCAGCCCCGGCGCCTGCCCTCACTCTGGGAGGTGGACCGGACCGTGTCTATGTGCCTGTCTGCTTTCCTCCCTTGCTCTGTGCCTTCGGGAAAGAAGGAAGCTAGTATTTACTACGTGCTTGCTCAGTATCGGACTCCTCCCGGTGCTTTAAATACTCTGTCATCCTCCCAACCCGCTGTGACGTTGGGGGTTATTATCCCCATTTCACAGATAAGGAAGGGTCAGAGAGGTGAAGTGACTTGCCTAAGGTCACACAGTGCATCTGGGTGAGCAAGGGAAGGGCAGGGAAGGTGGGCTGGGCTGGGTTGGCAGAGGCCTGGCCTCCGGTTTCGTTTTGGTTTTTCCTTGACCCCAAGCAGCAGGCAGTTCAAGGTGTGCTGTGTGAGGGAGACAGCAGGCAGAGCCGTCTCCTGGGACTCGTGCGCCACCGCCTGAAACATGGTGGTCAGGAACACGCGTGAGTGAGGGGTTTGGTCCTTGCCTGTTGGGCCATGGGGTTATTCTTCACTGTATCCTCCAGCTGGGCTTCAGCCATCCCTCTGGGGCAGAGTCCAAGTCTTCTAGATTAATTAGAATAATGATCACTCAGGGGCGCCTGGGTGGCGCAGTCGGTTAAGCGTCCGACTTCAGCCAGGTCAAGATCTCGCGGTCCGGGAGTTCGAGCCCCGCGTCGGGCTCTGGGCTGATGGCTCAGAGCCTGGAGCCTGTTTCCGATTCTGTGTCTCCCTCTCTCTCTGCCCCTCCCCCGTTCATGCTCTGTCTCTCTCTGTCCCAAAAATAAATAAACGTTGAAAAAAAAAAAAAAAGAATAATGATCACTCATATGTTTTGAACACTGTATTCTAAGCCCTTCCTGTGTATTGGGCTCACTTAATCCTCAAAATCTGTTGGAGAAACTTGTCAAGCAGAGACAGCTGAATGTTCTGGTCCAGATCTTGAGTTGCATGGCCTGTCTGCCTGGGTTCAAATCCAGGCATCATTGCCTCTGACCCACGTGATCGTGAGCGAGTTGTTTTACTCCCCTGTACCCAATACATGTTGCCAGTGATGCCCACATATTACACAGAATGAGAGAGACTGACAAATGCTTGTCGAAGGTCTCAGAGCCAAAAAGTGAACCTCAGGATCTCAGAGCTGAGGGGATGGGGGAGGGGCACTCGACATTTTCTAACCTACCACCCTGACTTTACAGATAGCAAAACTGTGGTCAGAGAGGGAAGGGGTGGCTGAGGTTATGGTGTTGCTGTCACACGCTACAGATAGATCACACATGTGTTTCACTGACAAAGCAGAGGCACCCCAAAATGAGCCAAGTTCAGCTTTGATGACCTATCTGTAGAACGGCAGTCTCTGATGGGCACCGTGGACAGAGAAGGCACAAGGATTGTGCAGAGCAGGGCACCACCAGCACGATCCTAGGGACCAAGGAGGGAGTGTGAGCACTTGGCCAAGGCCTCCACGATGAGCCTGAGGGGCGGCCGGTGGGCCCTGTCTTCACCT